TTATGAGGGCGCTGTACGACACAGGTGTGTAATGTACATTTTGAGGATGGAAGGTCAATAGGCGGCGTCAGGGCGGCACTAGGGGGTGCTGCAGGTACCCCTAGGATAGCCAGAGCACCTCCAAGAAATGTATGTCTTTTTTATTTTTATATTAGTGTGAAATTCATAATTTGAAAAATGATTGATTAGAAAATAATATGCTACAGTACAGTACAAGTACGTCTGGGTCTCTGTGTTTCATTCAAGCTCGGCTCTGTGTGTGTGTGGAACGAAGCCATTTTCTGTGCGTGCGCGAGCGAGAGACAGAGAGAGAGCGCGCACTGGTACCGGAGATTGTTGTTGTTAGCATCTGGTGCTAGCTAGCTATGCTAACGGATATAAGGAGCTTTTTCAACAACAAGGTGGAGGGAGAACTCTCGCCTGTCAGACTGAGAGGCTCAGATAACCTCAGCTCAGTGAGGTAAAGGACTCTCTCAGTGTTTAGATTACCCACTGAGATTAGTTATCTCAGTGGGTCTCAAACGGTTTGGTCACGATTAATGTAAACAATTATTTCCGAGGCACACGTTTATATGATCATTATAGGTATAAAAAAATAAGAGAATAAATGAAAAACAGTTATGAAATACTATGACAGTAAAACAAGAATAGAGTTTAAAAGGGGAGTGATTTGTAAAATATCCATAAAGAAAAAGTAAATCTGTTTACAGTTCAAGTGCACCAGATTGATGCTTTTAACTTCAATATTTAAAAAGAGCCCTAGAGGGTGTTAGGTCCACTCCCCACTTATAAAAATAGCACTTTACCCCTGCTTACACCTATATGCCGTGAGCTGATTATCGAGCCTTCATTGTAACAGTCGCGGGTACACTGTGTATTTGCGTGGGGATTGTTGCAGTACAAAATTCAACTGTAGCGACCGGTACATTAATGGGAAACCCTAAATGTTTGAGCACCCTCTATGAAACGTCAAGCTACCCCACAGCACCCCAAAAGAAAATCTCTGGCGCCGCCACTGAGCCTGCAACCCCGTTTTGAAGAAATGTGCTGTGCAAAACAGGCTCATTGCAGCCACTAATGGCGCATTTCCACTGCAGGGCCTCGCACGGCCCAGTACGGTATAGTTAGGCCTTGGTAGGCCAGGCTCACTTTATGCTGCGTTTCCATTACAGTTTAGGGACTGGGGTAGTAACTATAGTAACGCAGTGTAGGCGGAGCCGTGAGGTCATCTTCAATGCGAAACACAAAACCAACATCAGCCGTTAGCTGTTAGCCCTCAGAGCTCACAGCTCCTCATATCTGTTCAGAAACTAGACAAAAGTTAAACAAGTACAAACCACAGACTGCCTGTGTCATGGCGAATACAGTCACTGGTTTATTTAGGTCTGTATAGGCCGTTGTTGTGAGTGGACGGTCGGAGCATATATTGCGTTAGATTAGCTGATCTCCATTCAGAAAACACGCATTTAAAAAGTTTTTTCACCTGCCGTCTGTCTGCAGACTTATCAAAGCATTAATTCATGGTTTTTACTAACCGGTATCAGTATGTTGTTACTTACTTCGGCATCATTTTTGAAACGTGTATTACAATTAAATCACGGTCAAATATGTTCATTTTGTTGTAGTTGCCAGCGATTCTCTCACTAGTTTAGCATACTCAGCTCGGTTGTTGGCCCGGAAAGAACCTCGATTTTGGAGAGCCAGAAAACTGTGGAAAAAGTACCCGCTAGCGGAACTACGCCTAGTGGAAACGCAACCAAAAACGGGCCGTGCACGGTACGCTTAAACCACGCTCCGCGCTGTAGTGGAAATGCGTCATAATACTGTGATAAGACACACTTGTTTGCCAAATATCAGCATTTTCTTTCTTTTCATTATTTTGCACAGATTGCAAAGTGGCAAAGTATTATGATGTATTGTTCTAGCAAAGGGATTGCACAAATGTATTATGTATTTATTTTTTGAGCACACAGACTTATGGAGCATTGTTTATTATCACTGTTCTAGCAAAGTGATTCTTTGGTCCCATGTCATGCTTTTCCGGTTTATTACCCGTCCCCTTGTGTGTTATGACGGTTGTACTGCATGTAAACGGTCTGCAAAGTCATAAACCCTCAAAGTACACCCTGTAGCGAGTAAAACTCTAACACAGAAAAGACCTTTCTATGCTGCCCAGAACGCCTCGTTGGAGATTTCTCTTTTTCTATTGTTTTCATCCTGGTACAGTGACGTGTCCATACCCAATGGACCCATTGGTCCAATCCGTGGAGACTCCTCACACACCACACTCTCTCAGCGGCAAAACGTTTTCTGACGCGCTGGGGGGGGGGGGGGGGGGGGGGGGGTGCTAGTGGAGTCCTTCGCAGATGGGGGTGTTGCTTTAGGGTGCTGCAGCCTCTCAGCTTCCCGCGTCCATTTGCGATTAGTCTCGCTGTCTCGCAGATCCAACGCCAGCAAGCAGAGGGAAGGGAACCAACACACACTGTCCGTTCCTCGCCAGCAGTGAGCCCCGCGCAACGTCCTGCCTACACGGCACCCAGACCCCAACGCAGCATTCTCATCTGTTTGTCATTACTGGTGTCATTTCTGGTTGCTAACGCCATGTTAACACATAATCACTGATGTTCCGCGTAACGGTGGTAGACTCATCAGAACAGAGTGGGCGAGCTGACCAATCAGAGCACAGTGGGCTCACAGGGAGAGGGGGGGGGCAGGGAGCTCCAACAAGCCATTTAGGACAGAGTGAATACACATACTATACAGAGATGCTGTATGAGAAACCAATGTGAGTTTGGAAAATGCACAATATAAATCTATCTAGTAGACCTCACAATGGAATTATGAATCAGTAGAAATGGCATGTCATGGGACCTTTAATAAATGTTAACTTGGCCCATTACGTGACATTTTGTGTTGGGGGGGGCCCGACTTTTTTTTTTCTCCAAAGGGGGGCCCTGACGGGAAAAACTGGTTTACTGCATTTACTGTGTCATGGGCATAAATATTTTCCATTTAGAGTTGTATCTAACGTCTAACCCTCGACCTGTTGAGAGGCCCTGGAAAACATGTGTGCTGTTTGGCCTGATGGTCTAAATAAGATGCAACATTTATTGTCTCCACTTTTATACTTAACTGTGAGAAACTAAAAACATCAAAATGAAGTCAACAAAGCCAGTAAGCATACAAAAGGTCCTTTACAAATTCTTTTATTTCAGCATAATAGTAAGAAGCCTCTCCTCTGATTTTCATATAGTTGAAACTAATTGGATCACAAGGGTACATGTTAGTTAGCCCATTTACAATAATCATTGTAACATCTTTTTAGGAAGTTATTCTTATGCACTCATTTTCCTACACAAAATAATCATATCAAGATCCTGTCTTAACTGAGGACCATAACTCTGCATGCAAGACTAATAAAGAAAACAACTAATCTGTGATAGCTACTGTTATGCTGTTGTTCATCTAATACCATTATCAATATAATTTACTACAAATACCAGGGACTTCAATATGAGAAAGAAAACATTTTTCTTGTGGTACTACTGCCTATAATGTCAAAATGATCAAACATACTGGGCTCCCAACTGTACTGATCCAAAATGTTTGTCCACCTTCTGTGTCAAGTTGAGGAGAAATAGGCTTTGTCTAAAACCTAAAATCTAGTACAGTCTGAAGGAAAAAATAACCATCTTTCTTTTTTTGTCTTTTTTTCCTTTTCACTCCAGTGTTTACAATTTCATCAGAATAAAAAAAGGTCCTTGAAACAATCATCAAAATGTGATGAGAACATCTCAGAGAAATAAATCCTCGGATCCGTCTGAAAAATTAAACCTCAATCTTATAAACAAATGATCTGAGACTCAAGGATTCTATTGCGTTTTAACAATGAGATTGAGACTAAAAACAATAAAAGACATAAAAAGATATTAACAAGTGGATGTCAACTATGTACTGTTCTGCCCTTTAGCCATTTGAGTATGTGCTTGCACCAGCTGTATCTCCTCCACTGATTTGGAATAGTGTTTCCAGAGCAAATGAATGCATTTCTCAAACTTGGCCTCTTTGCTCATCAAAACATGTGAAATCCCATCTCTGTACACACTTAAACCATCGCACAACTTTGCCTTGATATCATTGACCACTTGAAAGAAACGTTTCCGATAATACTTGTTGTAAAATACCACTTAAATCAGTGATATTCGTCTTATTGTAACAAACATCTGTTCCTCCAGAGACCAGATAATGCACTCGGGGATTCCATCTCCACATTCACCGAAGCTTATCTGGACCTTGAAATAAAAAGGACAAAAAATTCTGTCCCCTGAAGGTAGCTGGGCTCTGAGACGTCGCTCTGGCAGTTGTGAAGACTTAACATGTCCGTCTCCCACACACACACACTGACATTACTGGCTTAAACATAACAGTTAGGACGATGCTAACGTTAGCCCATCAGTCACAGAAAGGATCAAGTTTGAGAAACTTCTTCAATAGGCGGCAAAGTGCCCACCCCCCCCCACACTCCGTTTAACTGCTCTCTGCTGTCTGACCGCCAAAGACTTTTACACAGTACGATCAAAGGTCATGATAGGTGAAAATAAATTGTTTGTTACAATATCATTTAGCACTACGATGATTACTTTGTGTATCCGCACTTACTTAAGGCTAAACCCAATGACATGACAGACATCCATTATTACACACCAACCACATAATATTTGGATAAAAAGGCAATTGTTAGTGTGTAGCAGAGTCGAGCACGTGCTGATTCTGCCAGAGCGCTGCAGTGGGTCAGCTCTACCGACTTCTCACAAGGACTGTCAAACACTCGGGGGCTCCTTACATACTGTGTGTATCAGTAACAATGACCCAAAATATTAATCATCATCAAAAGACAACCTAGGTCGACAGGAGAACACATTAGTTTGTTTTAGCGCCACTGAAGCCGTCAACATTCTGTAACCATGGCGGCTTTAGGATTAAAAAAACTAAAACATACCATGATGAAGACTGGCTGTCTCTTCTTAGTTAATACATCTGATCCACAAAAATAAACAGCTGAGAAACAAGGCAAAAGAAAAGAAACAAAACACACTAAGGCCACAAGATTTTGTATACCCTCGCTGATCTCACATGAGAGTATCTGTACAGACAACATAATGGGACTTCAAGTGGCCAACCTGTGCTATTCAGAACAAGAATCTATAGACCGATCGAGCAGAGGCCTTCCTGTACGTACTGGGGATCTCTGCTTATATACTGTATATATATATATATATATATATACACACACAGCTGAAAATATATACGGGGGCCATCATGGGCCCTTTCCCCGAGTCCTCAGCACGTCACACATGACACAGAACATGAGACACACAGGTGATAATCCTGGGACCCAGACCTGCAGGCTGCACCTCTTCACCACTTCCTGGAAGTCCTGGTTTGATATTACTTTTGTTTTAAAAAACACTTAGTTACTCAGGTTTCCGTAGGATATCTCAGAAACAGAGGCAGAGGAGTGTTTGACCTCATTTCTTATGATCAGCTGGTTTTTTGGCCCATTTCGTGCACACACAAACATCCCTAATTTAGTCTCAAATTAAAATAAACATTTTCGATTTACACAAAACTATTATTAAAACTGTACCTCCCATGTTGATAAAGTCAGGAAAATCCTATTGTTCAGATCACATTCAGACCGATGCTTAGCACTCTGTTTGCTACATAGTGCAAACATAGCGCTCTCCTTGCTTTACCTGGAAGGAAAGTTCAGTTTTAATATTTAAACGACCAAAGTGACGATTCTTGTGTTTTACAAAATGGGCCACATGAAAATCAGAAAGAAGCTCAAATACTTTTCCTCAGCACCACGTCATCCCATTTTGTTGTTGCCAACACGTCTGGATAAACAATACCTACAGCCCTTCCCGAGTACCACCAAATGCAGATATATTTGAACAACGATAAAAACGTTTTTTTTTTGCAAAAATCAAATAGATTAAGTACAAAACAGGACCACTGTTCATCACAGAAAAGTCTCGTCTTTAAAAAAACGGGGGGAGGAAAGGAAACACAGTAAAAAGTCAACAAAACAAAGACACAAATGTCCCTCGATCATCAGTAATCCCAAGACTGGAGCTGCAGATGGGTCGGCGCTGGAGTGTGGCGTCACTCAGCGCAGAAGAAGAAACCCTGTGGCTCCTCCGCTCTCTGGCGTGGTTGTGGATGTGGGGAGGGTGGAATGTCAGACTGCCAGTCGGCCTGGAGGGGGGTGCAGGGGGCTCCAGGTCTGAGGGGCGGGGGGAGGCTCCTGGCCGTACGGGCGCGGTTCGCAGCACGGCTGGTTCTCCACTTTGGCTACGCCGCGACCCTGGCACAACCGCCGGTGCCGCAACAGCCTGTCTGTCCGTGAAAAGTTCTTCAAAACAGACAACATGGATATAGTTAGTTATTATACTAGTTAGTAGTTATTAGTTATTATTAAAGTAAATGTGTGTGGTAAATCTGTTTCAATAGGTATAAAGACCAAGAGAAAACAACATGACTGCATTTTGTAAACATCAAGAAATCTTTATATTTTATACATCCAAGATTTGACCCAATGAACTCATTTAAGGTGACATCTTGAGCATACCTGCTGGCACCGCTCACACTGGTAAGGCTTCTCCCCACTATGGACACGCTTGTGTCTCTCAAGGTGGTAGCGCTGGATAAACCTCATATCACACATGTCACAAGCAAATGGCTTCTCTCCTGAAATTGCACACAAATACACAGTCAATGAATCTATTTTAGCGCCCAGTAGCAACAAACTGGCTGCATTTTTCACTTACTAAACTTTAATTGCAAACTATATTTCCAACACTCATAAAAAAGTTGGGGCAAAATGCCCTAATGGTAAATTTCAACAGTGTAGTTTCAGCATCTGAAAATGTATATTTTAAAAGGCCTCGTCATCAACTCATTATGTGTAGATCAAAGTGGAATTTTGTTGTTTTCATGGTCTAGATCTACGCAACATAGTGGCCCAAAAGCTGGGGCAAGTATTTTGAGGCTGGTTTCAACATCCCATCAAATGACTTGACAATCCAAACTCGAGTTTGTTGTGACCCGTTGTGTTGGAGGCAGCAGAGCCTCGCTCAGTAGGGAGGGAACGGGAAGGAGCGCATACCCGTATGAGTGAGGCAGTGTCTCTCCAGGTGGTTACGCTGAATAAACCTCATGTCACACATGGAACAAGCATACGGCTTCACCCCTACACACACAGAGCAATATATTAGCCCTACCACCCACAAGTGCAACAAATACAACTTTCAAGCTGAAGCTAGCACGAGGACTAAAACACTGACAGATTATACCTCATCATTTATTAATGTAATGTGCATTTCCTCTTAAGTTTAATGAAATGTTCAGACATGCAATTATAAGCTGATTTGTGAATAGAGTCAAGTCAGTTTTTAACATAATGTAGGTGTTATAGAAAAGAACACAAAGATCTGAAATGAGTATGAATCATAAAATGTAATCACAGTTTGCTTGTCTTAATAAACATATGTTTCACTTGCCACCGCAACAATTACTATTTTATCTTCTCTCACCTAGAATCTATATAATCCATAATATAATGCCTACAACTTAACAGCAAAAACATTGTTACATCATTACCACCTATTTTGAGTTTGAACCTCTTATTACTGGATGTTAAGTTTCCTAAAGCCATCCTCTACATTCAAGTTTAAACTTTATCCCCGCAAAATGCTGTTTAAAGATTAATCTAATGGAAGACTTGTATTACGACTATCATAAATACTATCATAAATACACGAATAAACATAGCCTCTCCTGAAAGTTTGCAAATAGAACTCAAATTGTGAACTCCACCAAGTTGTGGTACTCTTTTGATAGATACATAAAGTACGATCTATCTATCAGATAGATAGATAGATCGTACTTTATTTATCAAAAGACTACCACAAGTGCTTGCCCTGTGTAAAAAAGCTGATCGGCAGCTTTGATACCTTGCGGAGCATGATCACGTTGTGACGTCACTCCGAAGTGATGACGTCACCGATGAATACTTGAAGTTATTATGGATGAATTACTAATCCCTTTTGTACTTCTGATAAAAATTATTTATGTGTAATGCTTTAAATATACATTATGTGCTAAATATAATAGTTCTAAATGTGAACACTAGTGTGCGACTGAATTGTATTATTATCAAAGCTGCCGATCAGCTTTTTTACACAGGGCATATACATTATAAATAATACAATTCAGCCGCACACTAGTGTTCAAATTTAGAACTATTATATTTAGCACATATTTGTATATTTAAAGCATTACACATAAATAATTTTTATCAGAAGTACACAAGGGATTAGTAATTAATCCATAATAATTTCAAGTATTCATCGGTGACGTCATCACTTCGGAGTGACGTCACAACGTGATCATGCTCCGCAAGGTATCAAAGCTGCCGATCAGCTTTTTTACACAGGGCAAGCACTTGTGGTAAGTCTTTTGCTTGGTGGAGTTCACAAATTGAGTTCTATTTGCAAACTTTCAGGAGAGGCTCTGTGATGTCACCGATGATGTCACTACATTCTGCATGACGTCAACAATGATGTCATCGCACTCCGCATCACTGATTTCAAAGAGCCTTTCTTCACCGGTGATCACATGACATTATGCAGAATGTGATGACATCTTCAGTCAAGTAAAATACAAGTAAATACAAATAAAATTGAAATTATTGCACTATTTCAATTTTATTTGTAATTACTAAATGTATTCAAAGAATAGCGAAGGGAGAAAATAATTCAGATTTTTATCTCACAATTCAACCTGCTTTTAAGAATTCGGAATTCGAATTTCGGGGCTAAAAAAGAGTATGGCTTTTACCGCCACAATTATTGCATTTTTTTTTTTTGGAATACTGAATTTGAAAAAAGAATTGCAAAGGGAGAAACTAAGTCAGATTTTGATCTCGAAATTCAGATTATTTTGGAGAATCCTTAATTTTAAAGGAGACCTATCTGTAAGGAAGTGGCAGATTTTTTCCGGCTGTGTATTTTCAAATTCTAGCGATCTCGAGCTGGTTTCTCCAAAATGACCTACCCCACCTTTAACTTCCGCATTCAGATCACCGTGCATGTACGCCAAGTTAAAAAAGCTAACTGACAGAAATCTAAACGCGGTGCTCACCCCGGTCTGTGCCATGCCGAAAGGTCCCGGATTCATCCCTAGAAACAGGATCCTCTGTCCGGGCCGACAGTACCTCTGCACGTAGCAGCGGTGCGTGTCCCAGGCGTACTCCAGCGGGTTGTAGATGTGCCGGACGGGCTCACTGAAGGACAGCCGGCGGAGGTGGGCGTTCAGCTCCAGCTCCACCTGCAGGAACCTGGCGGAGGGGGGTTCACCGACCCCCGGTCCTGGTTTAAAGCCCTGCTCCTCTGACCCACATAAAGGCAGCTCCTCTCCCCCATCTGCAAGCGCGTGCTCCCCTGTATCTTCTGCACACGACATGTTTTATTCTAAGTGCATTGAACGAGGTGTCAGAGTAAAACGTAACTCTACGTTATATGACAGCTTTCCTAAAATGCTGCCTTGATAGCGTACTGAGCTGCAGGGTTTTGTTGATGTGTGTGATTTCTTCCTCTACTGTTTCCTGCAAAATCGTCATATGGTCGCATTCAAAGTGGTTGGCCCCCTCTAAAGCATCACTGGTGGCATTACAGCCAAACATAGGGTGTTTGTTTTTTGCCCAGACCCAGCCCATTTTATAACATTTAGAGACATCTCATGACAATTGTCAAATCAAAACATAAAGAATTCATGGTGTAATTTAATCAATGTTGTCTAGTGTATAATTACCTAAAATATACTGTCATTACTGCAGTGTTTCTCAAAGTGTCAAATCAAAACATAAAGAATTCATGGTGTAATTTAATCAATGTTGTCTAGTGTATAATTACCTAAAATATACTGTCATTACTGCAGTGTTTCTCAAAGTGGGGGGCGCGCCCCCTCTGGGGGGCGCAGAGGCATGACAGGGGGGCGCCAGAGACCAGGAGGAAACATTGAAAAGAGAATTGTTATGACGTCGGCATGACCGGCGGAAGTTACACTTATGAGGGCGCTGTACGACACAGGTGTGTAATGTACATTTTGAGGATGGAAGGTCAATAGGCGGCGTCAGGGCGGCACTAGGGGGTGCTGCAGGTACCCCTAGGATAGCCAGAGCACCTCCAAGAAATGTATGTCTTTTTTATTTTTATATTAGTGTGAAATTCATAATTTGAAAAATGATTGATTAGAAAATAATATGCTACAGTACAGTACAAGTACGTCTGGGTCTCTGTGTTTCATTCAAGCTCGGCTCTGTGTGTGTGTGGAACGAGCCATTTTCTGTGCGTGCGCGAGCGAGAGACAGAGAGAGAGCGCGCACTGGTACCGGAGATTGTTGTTGTTAGCATCTGGTGCTAGCTAGCTATGCTAACGGATATAAGGAGCTTTTTCAACAACAAGGTGGAGGGAGAACTCTCGCCTGTCAGACTGAGAGGCTCAGATAACCTCAGCTCAGTGAGGTAAAGGACTCTCTCAGTGTTTAGATTACCCACTGAGATTAGTTATCTCAGTGGGTCTCAAACGGTTTGGTCACGATTAATGTAAACAATTATTTCCGAGGCACACGTTTATATGATCATTATAGGTATAAAAAAATAAGAGAATAAATGAAAAACAGTTATGAAATACTATGACAGTAAAGCAAGAATACAGTTTAAAAGGGGAGTGATTTGTAAAATATCCATAAAGAAAAAGTTAATCTGTTTACAGTAATTTTGCTCTCAAAGTGGACCAGATTGATGCTTTTAACTTCAATATTTAAAAAAAAATCTTCCCGGGGGAGCATGCCCCCGGACCACCCTAGAGGATGTTAGGTCCACTCCCCACTTATAAAAATAGCACTTTACCCCTGCTTACACCTATATGCCTTGAGCTGATTATCGAGCCTTCATTGTAACAGTCGCGGGTACACTGTGTATTTGCGTGGGGATTGTTGCAGTACAAAATTCAACTGTAGCGACCGGTACATTAATGGGAAACCCTAAATGTTTGAGCACCCTCTATGAAACGTCAAGCTACCCCACAGCACCCCCAAAAGAAAATCTCTGGCGCCGCCACTGAGCCTGCAACCCCGTTTTGAAGAAATGTGCTGTGCAAAACAGGCTCATTGCAGCCACTAATGGCGCATTTCCACTGCAGGGCCTCGCACGGCCCAGTACGGTATAGTTAGGCCTTGGTAGGCCAGGCTCACTTTATGCTGCGTTTCCATTACAGTTTAGGGACTGGGGTAGTAACTATAGTAACGCAGTGTAGGCGGAGCCGTGAGGTCATCTTCAATGCGAAACACAAAACCAACATCAGCCGTTAGCTGTTAGCCCTCAGAGCTCACAGCTCCTCATATCTGTTCAGAAACTAGACAAAAGTTAAACAAGTACAAACCACAGACTGCCTGTGTCATGGCGAATACAGTCACTGGTTTATTTAGGTCTGTATAGGCCGTTGTTGTGAGTGGACGGTCGGAGCATATATTGCGTTAGATTAGCTGATCTCCATTCAGAAAACACGCATTTAAAAAGTTTTTTCGCCTGCCGTCTGTCTGCAGACTTATCAAAGCATTAATTCATGGTTTTTACTAACCGGTATCAGTATGTTGTTACTTCGGCATCATTTTTGAAACGTGTATTACAATTAAATCACGGTCAAATATGTTCATTTTGTTGTAGTTGCCAGCGATTCTCTCACTAGTTTAGCATACTCAGCCCGGTTGTTGGCCCGGAAAGAACCTCGATTTTGGAGAGCCAGAAAACTGTGGAAAAAGTACCCGCTAGCGGAACTACGCCTAGTGGAAACGCAACCAAAAACGGGCCGTGCACGGTACGCTTAAACCGCGCTCCGCGCTGTAGTGGAAATGCGTCATAATACTGTGATAAGACACACTTGTTTGCCAAATATCAGCATTTTCTTTCTTTTCATTATTTTGCACAGATTGCAAAGTGGCAAAGTATTATGATGTATTGTTCTAGCAAAGGGATTGCACAAATGTATTATGTATTTATTTTTTGAGCACACAGACTTATGGAGCATTGTTTTATTATCACTGTTCTAGCAAAGTGATTCTTTGGTCCCATGTCATGCTTTTCCGGTTATTACCCGTCCCCTTGTGTGTTATGACGGTTGTACTGCATGTAAACGGTCTGCAAAGTCATAAACCCTCAAAGTACACCCTGTAGCGAGTAAAACTCTAACACAGAAAAGACCTTTCTATGCTGCCCCAGAACGCCTCGTTGGAGATTTCTCTTTTTCTATTGTTTTCATCCTGGGTACAGTGACGTGCCCATACCCAAATGGACCCATTGGTCCAATCCGTGGAGCTCCTCACACACACACTCTCTCAGCGGCAAAACTGTGACGCGCTGGGGGGGGGCCTCTCAGCTTCCCGCGTCCATTTGCGATGTCTCGCTGTCTCGCAGATCCCACGCAGCAAGCAGGAAGGGAACCAAACACACTGTCCGCTCCTCGCAGCAGTGAGCCGCGCAACGTCCTGCCTACACGGCACCCAGACCCCACGCAGCATTCTCATCTGTTTGTCATTACTGGTGTCATTTTCTGGTTGCTAACGCCATTGTAACACATAATCACTGATGTTCCGCTGTAACGGTGGTAGACTCATCAGAACAGAGTGGGCGAGCTGACCAATCAGAGCACAGTGGGCTCACAGGG